GAGAGAGAGAGAGAGAATTAAAAGACGTAAATATGTTAAATATTCTAATATAGGAACTTGTACGAAGAAGGAAACATTTCATTTATCTTTTATCTGTATCTATAAAAATGTAGATTACACAGGACGTTCAAAGACAACAGATATCTTTACTTCCTGATGGAGGCATGCCTTGGTGGTGATCTGCGAACAACTCTGTACAGAACAGGTCGATTTAACGATTCAACTGCTCAATTCATCATCGCTTGCATCCTGGAAGCACTCGATTATGTTCACACACTTGGTATCGTCTATAGAGCTTTAAAGCCCGAGAATATCTTGATCGCCAACAATGGCTACATTAAGCTCGTACGTTTTAATAATAATTTAATAAACTATAAAATTAATCAAACTATTGTTAATACTTATGTCTAGTAACTATATACACAGAATATAGCAGATATTTTTCCATCTACTAATGTAAATAATATATAAAACAATAAAATTTTGTTCACAGGCCGATTTTGGCTTCAGCAAGATGATAGGCCCTTACAAAACGAAAACCTTCGTAGGAACACCCGAATACTTAGCACCGGAAATTATTCAAGTCAAAGGATATAACAGGTCTGTCGGATTTTGAATATTCAAATAATTTGAAAAATAAGAATAATTAAGAGTTTTGAATGTTCTTTTATTTTCGGCTTTGAAGGGCCGTGGATTATTGGGCCCTTGGTATTTTGGTGTACGAATTGCTTCTCGGCCGAACGCCTTTCCAGGATCCAAACGATATCGAGGTAGGCGAGAAGATCGTGAAAGGTTTTGACAGTGTTCCTATACCCAATACGGTCAATAGTACTGCAAAAAGTCTCATGCGACATCTTCTCCAATTTAATCCGACGAAGAGACTTGGCTGCTTGCGAAACGGTGCCATGGACATACGAAATCACAAGTAAATATTGCACAAAAAGGCAATTGTAGATTATATAGAATTTATTGAAAATTCAAAATTTGTTTACATGTAAATTCACGATTTTATTTCTATTTCAATAAGAACGTTTGGCCCATTACTACTGAAAAATATATATTCGCTCGTTTTGTTTTGTTGCTCGATTATAATGAGTCAAGCAAATTAATCATGAGCTTATTAATTATTTGTTTAGGTGGTTTTATAATTTCAATTGGACGTCATTACAGAATCAAACAATGATCGCTCTTTTAAAACCATCGGTAAGTAAATTTACTTTATATAATTTTCAAATAATATACCATTAAAGTATAAATCTTAAATTTAAAAAATTTATAAACATATCTAATTTATAAACATAAAAATTTTTATAATGAATTTTAAGACTCTTACAGGTTAAGAGGTACTGATTATAATTAGTTAAAATTGTTTTTCTTTTTTAGATAAAAGGACATCTCGATATGAAGAATTTTGATGTCTATCCCCAGGATCGCGAACTAGTGCTGAATGATTTCTCCGATTGGGATACGAATTTTTAGTTATAATAAACTAACAATTATTATATTACAATAATAAAAGATAGTTTAAAAAATCATTGTTTTCATATATAGGATATAAAATAACTCAGAAAATAATTATTAAATGAAAAATATTTTTTTTATCGACGTCAATCAAAATATATTATTTCACGGAAATATAGAAAAGTCCAACAGTCCAATTTGACAATCTCCAGTCGAAAAAATTGTCAATTGTTTAAATGTTTTTTTGATTGCATCAATTCAAAATTAATTAAGCTGGCTATCTGTCGTAAATTTAACTTTAATTAAAAATATAAAAAGTGTAAAATATTAAATTATTAATAGCTTTATTATAAAATAATATTTAAAATTTTCGAAATATCTTCCTAAAATATCTAATATCATTTAAATATTATTTAAATATGATTATAATCAGTTTGACCATAATTCGAAGCTGTCAAAATTCATCGGCGTTTGTTTCGCGCCCTACTCCGTCCTGCGGGATTTTAAAAAAGCCGCGTTTGGCGGCAAGCCTCGGTAAGTGTAGTGGGGAGTAGCGCGCTGTCGTTGGTTGACGCCGGCGCGCCGCTATTGGTCAGCGCCGGCGCGCCTCTATTGGTCGATGTTCGACCGTCGCATTCATTCCTCCGTCAGCTGTGCGCGTAGTGGCGCGTGTGGTCGGCTTGTTTGCGGGTCAGTGTATCCAGAACGATCGTGGGTAATGCGGACTCGCACGCAAATGGCGTCGCCATGCCATTATGAACGAGAGTGTGCCATACAATAACGCGTACGGGCCGCGTCCGGGCGCAGCGCCTTGCGGCCCAGCCTGACGAACGCGCGAGCTAAGTCAAGCGAACGCGCCGAAGATCGTAACGTCTGACGAGTGGTGCTTTGTGGGAGCTCCGACGAGAGAAGAAAATAATTCCGACCGTGCCCCCTCCGTGCCCCGTTTCGTGTCGTGTTGTGTCGTCGCGGCGACGACAGTGGCCACATCCGAGGAGAAGCAACGGGAGAACGGTTACGAGATTTGCGATAGGTCCAGAAGGTGAGTGCGATGGAGGCTCGTCTCTTGTTCACATGTGCATATATATATATATATATATTATATGTATATATATATTATATGTGGTACGTCATATTGCGTAAAGTACACTCGCTTGCGCGCGCGCGTATTCGTACGCGGATTATTCCGTACGGATTAAATCAATATCTGGTGCACGACGTATCGGACGGGCGCGTTGTTTTTTCGATCGTCGAGGGGGAAACGGGCAGTCACGGAGATCGAGAATGAGAATGATAACAACTCGCGACCGCGCAGGCTTAACTGCGCTATTTGATCCGTAGACGGAAGGAGGAAAAAGAGAAAGAGAGAGAGAGAGAAATAACGAAATGAGCAACAGCAGCAGCAGCAGCAGCAGACGTATGAGAAATGTGCGGGCGATTTCCATGAAACGCGAGGCCAGACGCGCGATAAAACCGAGTGACGCGATCGCGATAAGGAAGATTTGCGATGCACTCGGGACTAATTCTTAACGAGCGTTGTACAGCTCGTTCCCTTGAATAGAAAAAGAGAGAGAGAGAGAGAGAGAGAGAGAGAGCGAGAGAAGAGAGAATTAAACAGAGAGGGTGACCGTAAAAAATTATGGAGTTAGAGGAAATTTGTTTATATACTTCAGCTACCATTAGTGTCCATGTTGTTTAATTACGCGCTGTATCCTTTGTTTTTCCTTTCTTCTTGCTCCTCTTCCTTGAACGCGAATTTCCGCGTAGAAAGAAACTTCATTGCGCATTAAGACTGTTCCATCTTGGAGTGATATTTGCAGTTCGATCTTTAATTATAAATTTAAATATTGATTAAATATAATTTTTTCCATCTTGGACTGATATTTGCAGTTCGATCTTTAATTATAAATTTAAATGTAAGTTAAATTTCGATTAAATATAAATTTCTTGAAGATTGTCCTAAGTTTCTGAAGATGAGCTCATTCAACCGATGAAATTATCATCTCGGGTATTTAAGATGATCTTACGTTGTAAGGACGGATCGTTCTCGGAACCGTTTGTTGACAAGCCATGCGTATAATGTTACCAAATTCTCTGTTTTTCCATACACGTACTTGAGACGCAAAATAATACTAGAAGACACCGTCGTAAACACGCGTGCTCGCTCTCGTTGTTTTCAATCTCAATAATCCTTAGGATTCAATGGAAGAGAGAAATTCCTGAGCTTATATATGAGAGAGTACTCTTGCCTGTTTGGCCTGTAAATATTACGTGGGAAACGTTAGGACACACTTGACGCAGAAATCAATATAGAATAATATTGAAAATATTCGTGGGAGCTATATCGTATTCTTTTGTCTTCTTCACATTATTTCAATAAAAAATAATATAATATCGAGTGTTTTAGAGCAAAATTCATATTGTGAGAATTATTTATAATTAAATAGGATTATAATAATTAGGATTTTAATAATTATTATTTTTAAATAGCACAAGCAACAGGACAAATTGTATAATGATCAATAGTGAAATTGCGAGAATGAATTAAAATTAATAGTGACTAATTAACACATTTTATATAAGGATATAGCTTAATAAGGATAAGCTTAATACTGCTTTTTCATTCAGATATGTTATACATAATTATTTAATATAATATAATTGACGGATAATTTTATTAATTTTATAGAAAAATTGATTTAAATACAGGTAATTGGTGTAAAATTACGGAATTATGGTAACTCACTTATTACATTTATTTGATTTATTTTCTCATTTATC